TTAGATGCGTAAATTTTATAGTATCTCTTTTCTACCACCACTCGAACATTAAAGTATGTTATTATCATCTATGAAACCATTGTGATTTCAGGTAGTCTGCAGCTGATGAGAACCTGTGAAATAGAATGATATCATTTTATACTGCAAATTTCGTCTTCCTTTCTTTATCGAAATTTATCAAGGGAACAAAATGTATGAAACAAGATCAACTGATAATAAATTTAAAAAGAAATGAAAATAAAAAGACGTAAATTTATCTTAGTGCAAGAATCGTCTAAAATATTAAATGGTTAATGCGTGTTTTGTCAGTCTAAACCACAGAAACTGATGTGATTAAAACATTCACATTATTCAAGAATAAATTAACGAATCTTATTTGCAGCCTTTGATTCTCCGCCTTCTTCAAAGACGATTTTCTAAATTCGTACTTTGTCCTAAGGCGTTGTCCGCCTTCTTGTTTGAGCGAACTATGTGAATACGAACAAACTGAAGATAAAGTAAAGTAGAATCAAAGCTTTATGAAGAAGGACAAAAGTCAGTTCTTTGTAACATCCACTTGAGAAACGTGGTAATCAATTGAATGGAATTAGTGTAAACACTAAGTGCTGAAAAACATTATTTAATAGCAATAATTTATTCTGAATAAAATGTCTATAAAAAAAAGACATTTTCAGAGTATTTTTACTTACTACTTATACAGAATTTTCAAGTGAAATCGCGTTCTGTTGTATATCCTTTGAAACATTTGGAAGAAACTACCAGTTTAAGAGATTAGTTAAGCTCAAGATCTAACAACAGGGCGTTGCATAAAATGTTTTAGATCCTGGGTGGTGATCAGATAGTTTGCGATAACCTACGCTTCGAATTCTGCATATTGTCCAGAATAAAGCTGCTGTTATCATCATGCAGTTAAGTGGGAGAATATTGTGCCTCAGTAGTGTATCTCCACTTTACTCTCGTTTCTGTTGCAGTTTCATCTGGCTGCATAAATTTTAAATTCCAGTTATTTTCCATTAACAGCTTCTTTTACTGTTTCAACAGGATCTTGTAGATTCCTTACGCTGGGTAGAGAGGGATCTGAGTCTGTTTGTCCTTCGTTTTTCGGTGTTGCATCCAATAGACTGAATTTTCGATTTCTTGAGATTAATAGTGCTTTCATCAAGTGCGAGTAGAATATCACTTTCTTGTTCTTCGAGGCCATTTCATCCACTTCACAAGAGCCCTTGATGCCGATGACAGCAATATCCACACTGTGCTCGTGATTGCCATCCGGATGACGGAAGTTGATTATTGGATCAGCAGTTAACTTCGAAAATAGCCGGTTTCTTCTCCTCTTCTCTGTCTTATTATCTAATTTTCCTCTGCAATCTGAGCAGCCTAAACTGCTTCAAACACTCTGTGGACATCTCAAATCCACATAGTCAATTTTATTTTCGTCGAAAATGGGTAAACTACTTGCTTGATGTGATTTAAGCTAGAATTAGACGGCACACTCTGAATTCTTGTTCCAACCAATGGAAGTGCTTGGAATTTTCGCCACTAACGGTGACGTTTCACGTCAGTAGATAGACTCATGTCCACCTTTCAGCCTTTTGCACACTTATGACAGGCGAATAAACTTGGTCCAAGAATGCGTGTCTGGGAGCTGCACTCAGGACTCCTCCGTGGTTGACAAGCATTCTACCACTGAACCAACAACACTCAAGGTTTTCATCTAATGTACGCCACTGGAATATGAATGAAATAGAGGAGCAGAAGTCTGAACAAAAGCAGATAGTTTTGAACGAGACGACAACAAAAGTCTAGTGATGTTCCACTCAAATACTGAGGTTATTTATATAGTCTAGCTCTCAAAAGTCCCGAAACACTACTCGATGAAGAACTGAAATACATAACACAGACATCTGAATTTTTCAAGAATTCTTCTGAATTTCGCATGATTACTATTTAAGAATGAAATCATGCAATGAGATCTGCAATGAAAGGTAACTTCAAAATAGTTAAAAATTTAGTTGAATATGCTAGAAAAGAATGTTTACAAGGAACAAGTGGGACAATCCAATCAAGAAACTGCTGTCGAATAAACATGCACAGAACACACTTTAAGGAGAACGTTGGGTGACATCGTACGCTAGACCGTCTAATATAACCCAAACAGTCGGCAACCGATGTGAAAACGAGGAGATCATAAGAGGAGGAGACAAGAGCCTGTGGTGTCAGTTCAGATTTTAATTAACTGTAACCCGATGGTTAGACAGGGTCAGTCTTTGCTGTTATCTTGATCACTCTGAATCTGAGAATACGTAGACTTCATTACTTTTAAACTGTGCGTCTCCCACGAGGTATCATAGATAATGTAGTGTATGAATTATCTGTCTAGCTCAAACACAAAATGCGTAAATCAGCCACTCATCGAAGTCACATGTGCGAATATATATGCAGCTAACACCTGCCAAATCACTAGCTGCGTACTACATATTCAATCACAAAATCAATTAGGTTCAACACTCAGGCAAAATGTCTATGGCCTCCTTGATTCGAGGAAACCATTCTCTTCCATTTCACTTTGATCTAACAGATTCTGACATCATTCACTTCATCATCTCGTTATGTGACTTTCCAGTTCAACTGACTCATCACAAACGGATGTTCACTTATCAGTTCTTATAATAATATGAAGGTTGCAGATGCACGGTGATGAAAGTAGAATCCTGATATAAGTGAATAGCGAATCTATGAGTCTGCAAACAGACGCTTTAATGTAGAATTTGAATTCTGTATGTAGCCTATTTCTCGTTTGGTCCGTTTTTCAATTCAAAATTAGAACAGAGATTATTTCTACACAAACATTAAAACTAGTTATTCTTGCTACACTCAGTTCTAATCACTTAGTTCGCCTTTCGATTGTCTACAACAGAATATTTCTTCTCATGTAATGTTCCATTTCTCACACTGTTCGTTGACTAGCATCTTTACTGGGAACCCTACGGAGTCACAGATTCGCATTGATGAGGAATTTCCAAGTACAGTGAAGCAACTACTTGGTGGCAGAGAGTGCTCAGTGGCTCTCCGATTGCCATAAATCCATCGTAGTTTAATTCTTTTCTGTTTATCTGTTAAGAGTAGATCTCTTGAATTGCGAAGTTAACTAACAGATTAAACAATGGGCGGATCGCTTCAAAGGACTCTTGAACAACCACCAACTACAACCCGTCCAGAAATACCAACAACAGCACGTACACAACTGCAAGTTGACACCAATCACCAACGAGAGCTGAAGTCTTGAATGCAATCAAGCTTCTGATAGCTGGAAAAGCAGCTGGACTAGAACGAATACTCCCTCAAGCACTAAAAGCGGACCCAGAGACTACGGCAGACATGCTGCCTCCATGATTGCAAAAGGTTTGGAAGGAGGGAAAAAGATGCCTACTGACAGGAGGAAAGGTTATCTCGTGAAACTACCAAGGAAGGCCGAATTAGGCCCCACTCTGCAAGAACTGGCGAGGAATAATGCTGAATCGCATCATCCTGGAAAGAATAAAGGAATCACTGGATACAGATCTCCTACCAGAACAAGTTGGATTCAGGAAAGGCAAATCATGTACTGACCAAATTGCAACTCTACTCATCATCATCGAACAAAGCGTGGAATGACAATCAAACCTCTACCTCAACTTTATAGACTTTGAGAAGGCCTTCGACAGTGTTGATCGTGAAGTAATTTGGAAACTACTCGAGTACTACGGCGTGCCCCAAATATTCATCAACCTTATTCAACAGCTGTACGACAACGGAACATGTCGAGTGATCCACAACGGAAAACTCAGCGAGGCGTTTGGAGTAAACAAGGAGTCAGACAAGGGTGCTTACTATCACCAATGATATTCCAAACTGTGCCAGGACTGACATGATTATGCATGAGGCAGTGGGAAACGAGAAGACAGGATTACCTGGACCACGTGAAGAACCTAGAAGACCTGGATTTCGCGCGTGGATGATTTATGTTTGATGTCACACACAATCGAAGACTTACTAGCGAAAACCGACAAACTGGTCGAAGAAGCAGCCGGCGAAGACAGGACTCCAGGTAAACATAGACAAGACGGAGGTTATGAAAATAACCAACCAACAACAGCAACAGCATCCAACGTCAATCGCCATCAACGGGAGGGATTTGAAAGAGGTTACTTCATTCACTTATCTGAGGAGCATTTCCTCAGCTAGAGGAGGAACGGACGAGGATGTGAAATTGAGAATTGGGAAGGCGAGAAACACATTCATCAACCTGAAACCAATCTGGAAATCTTCATCACTCAGCATCGACAACAAAATTCAGTCGGATTTTCAATACAAACGTAAAGTCAGTTCTCTGTACGGGTCAGAAACTTGACTAGTCACAAAGAATATTTCCAACAGCCAGTTGCAGACTCTTATCAACAACTGTCTTCACTCTCTACTGAAGATCCGATGGCCTGAAAGAGTCACCGACAAGAAAATATGGGAACAAACAAAACCAAAACCAATCGCCCAACAAATATGCAGGAGAAAGTGGATTGGATGGATTGGACACTTGCTGAGGAGGCCGCTGGGTGACATCGCGCGTCAGACCATTTCTCAAGTGGAACCTGAAAGAGAAGCGGCAAGTGAGAATTTTAAGGGTGACATGGAGGAGATCGTGTGAAGAGGAGTTGAAACAGTGTGGAATTACATGGATGCAGGTGAAAAACACAGTAGAAGACAGAAGCAAGTGGTGCTCTATGTTCCACTAGGAACCCAAGGGAACAATAATAATGATAATAAACTAACGTGCTTTGTGTTTTCCGACAGCTTTCTGAGACTTCATTCTTATGTGTCGCTTCATACAGTTTTACATGTAGTGTAGCTTCTAATTCAATCGACTACATTCAATATGTTCCATTGGTTGTTTATCTTATATCAAAGTCCATGTTTTAATTCATCGTATAAATTTGCCTTGGCTGATTTTTAAATATTCTGATATTCCTAAATAGAATCGCACATTTATTCTACAACTTCTGCAATCAATACAATTTCGACAATGACAACTTCATCAAACGAGGGTAAGTTTTAAGTTTTATGTTTGAATTTCATTGTAAACTTGAAGGTATATTCTGTCAAGTTTTATTTTCAGCCCTGATACTCTTAGTGTTTAGATGAGACTATTCATTATGATGACATACTTTCCAGGACCTTATCGATGAAGCTGTGAATAAACGCTTTCATGTGTAGTTTCAATTCTACATGTAGCCCTTCATCCTATTATTCCGCTTTCCAATCAAGAGTAGAGCAGAGAACAGTTCGACCTATAAATTAAAATTAGTTATTCTTGCTACAGTCGCGTTCTATTCACTTAGTTCCTATTTCGATTGTCTACAGCGGAATATGTCTTTTAATATAATGTTCCATTTCTTGCATTGTTCATTGACTGGCACCTTGACTGGGAACCCTATGGAGTCATCAGGTAATTTGAAAATTACTGATTCTATATTCCCCAACTGAATAAAAGATTCCATTCAGAATTGGACACCCAGTGAAATATAAGAGGAATGCAGTTAGTCAGTGGTGGTCAATGCAAAGTATATCTGAAGGGAATTTTACACAATGAAGGAGTCGTAACATGCTCACCATAGATATGGATGTTTTTGAAATCGAGATGTTGAAGCTATCATGAGAGAGAAGATAAGGCTGCCCTAAATTGTAACGCAACACTTATATTCGTCCCTCGAATTTTTAAGCGTCTTAAGTTTTTTCGACTTATGGGATGAATTAATCTGAAATATCTGTCTGGAGTTTTCGGATTTCAGGACCCAGACTAGAATGCTTTCACATATTCGGACATTATTTATCTAAACATATATATATGTACTAAGATTCTCCATATTGACTGATCAACTGGGTTTTACTTGAACATGGTTTGCGCCCCACTCAACACTGTAATGAATACTAATAATACTGTTTACTTTGGAACTGGCTATAATAGTTGTACAACTCTAGTCAAAATAATATTCTCAGAATGAATTGAGTTGATGAATAGTGTATCGAAATCGGATTTCGTCTGCAAGAACTGATGCGTCCTGTCAACCATGATGACTTATCAGAAATAGAATAATCACAATCACAAAAGATTGATTCATTTATTATTTGTCAACACTATGCTGGTTCGTGCAATATCAATGTCGAGGAACACACACAGGTTCTAGTCTCTGAACAAGAATATGTCTCAATATATCTTCATATTTTAAATAGGTTCTGTGACACATACATACTTACCATGTGTCAATCAACATTTCGCATAATCTTTCATTTTATGTCGAGATTAAACAATGTCATTCTGAAGATTCTGTATGTGACTATGCATAAAATAATACGTAATTAAAAGTTACTAATCAATTCTCTAAACCATCTGACTTCAGATGTGAAGATCTATGTTGAATAAGTTGACTTCGCTGTCCAAAAGATTATCTCGATAGTTTAGGAAAGGCCTACTGATATGGCGTAAATAAGAACAATAGTCATATCTAGTGATCTTTACTGTAATATGAAGAGTCTTCTGAACACTGAGCAAAACTTCAAGTACTTTTGGCTCAGGACTAGATAATGTGAAATCTTGTGTGATGCTCAAGAAATCGTCTGCAAGTATTCGAGATACCCAAATCACAATTGTCACCTGTGACCACAGTAAAATCAGAAAGTGCAAAGAACTCAATGTGGAGTGTGTATCACGTCATGCTGTTCTGTCTTCCGAACACTATGATTGATACATTTTCAGTAAGCTTGGCACAAGACTCTGTAATAGGGAATGTATAATGATGCTGCAGAACTGGTCTTTAAGTATTTGAGATACTCAAATCAAATCTTTCGCCTGTGACAACAGAGAACTCAGTGTGTAAAGTGTATCACATCGTGATGTTTTGCTCTCCAGCTTTGAAACTCAATAGTTCAAGTAGAAAAGTGTAGTAGCTTTGCCATTGCGTGCATGCTTCGGCATAATTAGTAAAATCGACATGAAAAATGAAATAAACGGATTCTCTGTATCCAACCATTTGGATGGAGCTGTATTCGTGAGTCACAAATTGTCGAGTAGTCCATGTAAAGGGACCTAATTCATAGGGGCGCATCACTATCTTTAAATGAGCCTCTCATAATGTCGTCTTCTTTTCCACTTGTTTAATTTATTATGAATCTTTTGAAAATGTCATCAGTCAAAAATGAAAACCAAACCACCCTCCCATTTACCCCATCGGATGAACTATCTTCAACTCAAGAATCTGTGAATTCACGAAGTAACATAGAAGTATGTTTCCCATCGTTATTACTCATAACCAAATTATTCAAGCCTGTTTCTAATCAGTCTTCTGTTGAACGAAGGACCTGGGAGTTCATTTGGAAGGTATCTGTTTCACATTCCATAGGTTGTTACTTTATTCATCTTTTTTCACAGACTTTCATCATAGTGTCAGTACAGATTACAATTGTGTGGGAAATCTGCGCTCTTGTGTTACTTGTGTAAGTTATGTGTTGCTGACTAATCCTGTTAATGAAATGTTTTCAAGTTCGCAAATTTATGAATGGATGAAAGAAAATACTTGGTTTTCATGGACGTGTGGGTACGTATAACACTTACTTTTTATCCATGCATCACCCATCTGTTTTATATCTCATAATCAGGTGTATAGAAAACAGTAGAGCGGAGAGAAAGACAGTGAATAAGCCGCTTGAGATTCAAAATAGTGAGGTGGAATTCGGTTTCTGTTTGAGCCAGCTATCATAAACTTTCAAACCATCATTCCATATGAGGTAGACATGAAATCGATATTGATGGCAGACTAAGTGGGAAAGAAAAGAAGCACTCTAATACCTATCAATTACATGTGCAACTTAGTGTTTCATTCCAACCAATAGTGTCTCACAAATCAAAAATTTAAGCCTTGACAACTGAACATGTTGTGTTATTATTTGAGACATGATCTTGCATGTGAAAGCGATAATTTATTCATGCATGTGTTACACATTTGTCGGAATAAATTGTTATTATTATCACAATTATCAATATCACACAGTTGCATTTGAAATGGCTGATTCAAGTGTAGTTCAAGCACTCTGGTAGCAATCTACATATTAAATCGATAAAGCTATAGGAGATGTCAATCCCCACTTCTCTTCCTCATCCTGTACAAATTCATCTTCAGAATCCATTCTTTATAACTTTCTTTAATTTTGTTTCTAACTATACAGAATTCTGGGAACAGTTCTACAACTTGAGATGCTACTGATACCGCAGTTACAGTTCGCCTTCCCCTATAACTATATCTACTTGATAATTGCTGTAAGTGGAGTGCGTTTCGCCACTCATTTTATGAAAGTACAATATTAACAATAATATTTTCCTCTTGCATATCAGATTGTTCCATGTTCATATAAGGACATGTTTCGCTTGTTGCCTTTCTTGTAACTCCACATAAAAATTACGCAATTTCTTTAAGTCAAGCACACAATGGATACGTTTTACACTAAAAGTAAGAAAAAAGTCGTGTTATCCTCAAGAAGCCAATTCAGAGGTGAAAATTCTGACGCCTAGTTGTATCTAATTTCGGAATATAAAAGAAATTGCGATAAACTAGAGTTAAGATTCTCAACTGACTGGAACGACGAATGTTAAAAATATTGAAGCAACTGCGGTCGCTCTTGAAACGCTCACTCCATATTAGGAACACATCAGTGACTTATAAGAGTGGAAGAAGTTTATGTGATCAGGTTTCAACACACATCGTCGAAAGTAGAATTGAACCCATTGGCTGAAAACGATTTCCTTAATATTTTCACAGTAGAAGTGTGTTTAGTTTCCTGTAGTATCCTGCCTAAACCATTGTCATTGCAGTTTGAGTGGTTGAATCCAATCGATCATCTTTGGTATTGCAGAATGAATTGAAGATAGAAATGTAGAGGTGCATTCGACAACAACTAATTTATTTGAAACCTAAAGATAAGGAATTGTTTCTTCCTGCCGCCTAACACTTATTAACTGAGTTATTTTCGATTGACTGGATAAATGCTTTCTGGGAAACAGAAAGAGATCCACCGGCTGGATACATCTTCCTAATTTATTTCATAAGAGGCATGTGTCAACTTTGTGGTAATGTCAGTGTCAAGGAACTTAATCCTAAGTTCCTATTATTTCCGAAGATGCTCCGAATCGACAAGCACTCATCACAGATATCCACTTTAATTCCAAAACACAGTGAATGACAAGAAATTGTATTCTTCGACAGTTAAAATCAATACTGTGTACTAAGTCTATATAAAAAGTTTTATTCGTATTCTTTTTTGCATTTGTCCACCAATGACGACTGAGGCCAATGAACAAACGTTCAATGTTCGTAATCACTGACAGTCAGAGTGAAACCAACGCCATGTTGATTGTGTTCTGTTGTGCAACTATTGTTGTAGCTGCTATGGGCATGCAGTATATAATGATTCAGTTTACGCACGCCTTCTTGTTGTTCACCCATAATCCCAAGGATGTTGTTTACCGCTTCCATCCAACTGACTTCATCTATCAACATCAGTTCAGAATACTCATTCATTCTCAAGATCACTTTTTTGTTAATGGCTGCATTTCATTTTTCTCTGTTCAATATTGCCTGCTTTTCTTTCTCCCCCCCCCACAGACAATAATCGTTGCCTTTGCTGCAGCTGTTCCACTCATCGACTTACCATTCTGGTGGACATTTGTCACATGGATAATTACTGTGATTATTGCGGGAATTGTAGTAGCTGTCAGTGTCGTCAACAGATTCGATGTGCTCAAGAGTTTTGGGGAGTTCATACTTGTCACTTTCATTGTGGAATTGGCCTTTGTTATAATATTCTTCCCTTTCATATTCTGGCGAGAATTTGACGTAAGTAATCAGATGAACTGTTAGTTGCTCTTAATTAGAAATTATCTGTCACTAATGAAATATCGTAAAATATGATATGTTAGTAAGCTAGGAAAAGAAGGTAGAATGGTCTTGAAGCTGGGAAAGAAACCGCATGTAAACCAGAAGGATCACTACTGAATCATTAAAGCATGTAGGAAAAATCTCTTTCTCTCTGGAATCAGGAGGCAGAAACGTCGCTGGCAATGAAATCTCCTTGACGTCAATCGACCTATCCATCTTTTTTCGACAGGATGGAAATAGACAACGTGGAATACTTACAGTATGGTTAAAGCTGAAGGGACTGCGCTGACAGCAGTATGAGCAAGCAGACATTGTACAGAATTTCTAGAAAACTGTAAGGGAGATGAAATGGTGGTGGACACTCTACTGTCAATCGGAGACGCTATAATCTACTTCTGTCATCAAGATTTCAACCACGAGCACACTGAGTCTATGGCTGTGATGTTGTCCTTAAAAGTATCGATGACTGTTCTGTAGGGGAAGTCAGCCACTACAGGGTAATGGCAGCAAGATTCGAATTGGAAGGTGGGAAATTCGCTAGTAGATTAAATTACTGCTTGGCACTTCTGGGAAGTTATCACAAATATACCTTGAACTTACACTTGTAATGACATCTCAGATCTTGTCCTGTGTGTCTGCTGTGTATCGTCTTTCCGATCCTAACTGACTATGACATTCTCATCCATGACCCCCTGTAGTGAAAACGATTCTGACCTGGTCAGGTAGATGGAATGACAACTTTGTAACGATTCCTCCAAGTAATGGTGATCGGCGTTCGTTGTGTTTATGCTCGGACGTCTTCATCACTTTTCCTATTTGACTTACTCATTCTAAGCCCGGTTAGACACGAGGCTAACAATAGCACACTCTCAGTCTCTGCGGTATTTTGAACTCAAAAAATATATACTAAAACCTACATGGAACTTCATGATTCCTTTGGTTTCCAGTTGACACTTTAGATGCAGAATGTGGATAATAGTGACTGGGATTAGCATGTCTGCACATTTGAAACATCCTGTGAACGATTATTACAATTTATATAATGTGTCATTACACTGATCTCAGTTAATAATTAACAGACGTGAAGGCTAAGTTAAAATAAATTACTCGATAAAACCCGCAATCATATTTTTGTATATTTTGAGCTTAATTATTGATTTGATTCATCAATCTCTTGACAGATACTCATAATACTGTGTGGATTCGCCATGATGTGGACAGTTATTTCGGTATGTTTATCAGTCGATCATTTGAAATAGAGAATAGTATTTTTTTCATATGGAGCCGACTGTTGTCAGTTTAAGGACTCGAAAATGTACTGAATGAAGTAGATAGCTGAAGTAGTTGATGCACGTTTGGTTTACGATACTAAGGAAATTCTCATCTCACGTATTTTATATGGGTGATACAAATGCTACAATTGTTGCGCCTAATTTTGCTCGGTAATGAAGCTTCATTTTACTTCTTTCGCACAGTCTATTCACTGCAAATAGAAAATGAATGTCGCTGTAAAGTTTCTCACTCATTATGAGTTCTCATGCTGAAACTTGAAGCTGGTACATACTGTTTGCGAATACTCAGAGTCATCCATCAAGTTTCTTTAGGAAAATTTATTCTCAACAGCTACAAGTAAATAAGTATCAAGAGTTGCATTTCGTTCTTTCATGCCGTCATTTTCCGCATAACGTAAACAAACACATCAATATTCCACGGATATTGAACTTCACGTTTGAATTTGTATGCAGTGTTAGTCAAATAGCACAAGTAGCTCCTTGCCTCAGGACAGCTAACAATTTGAGAAGAATAATATCGCACTCTGTATGTTCACTGACAAAATTCAACAAGTGTTTATCAGAACCTGAAGGAATGCCATGTCAGTTATATGTATGCTTCCTTACTGATCGATTTAACTTAGGCTTAAGCTTAATGTGATATCACCATAAACTTAAACCTAATTACACTCAGATTTACTCCCCATAAGTTTTTCCGTTATATTTTCATAAATGTCCTCATTAAAGGAAGCATTTTCTGCAGTGACTGATTCTGTTTTAGTGATTTTCAGCGGTGCAAAGTATTAGAGGAGATGAATGGAGCACAAAAATAGAGTTACAGTTTACTCGAAATATTACCCATTGGAGCAGAATGAGTTAAGAGAAGGTTCGATTTTCTGATATGGAGTTGCAGAAAACTTACTGAGACTCTGAGATTCCGATATGTCCGTCAGATTCATATACATGAGTAGTATATTTTGATGACTTGCAACTGTTTGCTTGGATATTCCATATTTCTAATTTATATTAATATATATGAATGATTGATGAAGTAACATTAAGCCAGTGATAAGATGTCGTGTCTTCACCTTTCAATCCATGTTGAAAATGGTATTAGGAATTTTATCACTTGGTTGTACTTCATACTTTATTCAAATATTCCAGGATGTTTATAAATACTGGACAAGAATAAGCCTCAACATGACTGTCTTTCGTTTTCAGGAGATAGCTATCATTGTTCAAGCACTTCTTGGTGATAGACGATTCACATTTCGAAATGATCAACATGTACTCTGTGGATTGATTATTGCCATGTTAATTATCTGGCTGCATTTGCTCGTTTCAACGGAGGTGGCCATCTTCATCGTATCAATAAATCGCACAAAGGAAGACGACGGTTTTCATCCATTTGACACATATGCAGAGAAATATTTGGAATTTCAAAAGATAATCTGATGACAAATTTCAATGTACTTATTACTTTTAAAAGTGCAATAAAAGCGATAATATCTTTCTGATTCTCATTTATTTCAACACAACTGTCAAATATCAAAAATCAGTAGCAACTCAATAATCTGACATTTGGTGCTTGGACAGAGTGGTGGAGAAAGCAGTAAGCTCGAGACGTACGTGCAGGTATTTCTGTCAGTTACTTGCAATCCCTTAAAACTAGCTCAAAAGGTATTTTAACAGATAGGGTCCCACCTTGACTGATACGTTATATCCACCACATAGAACTAGACACTGACTATTGGTCAACCAATCACGGAATGGCATCCTAGTGCAGATACGAAATCACCACTACGATTTCATGCTAAAACGCCAAAAATTGTGGGATCGCTTATATTGTCACCGTCTCGTCAGCCAGATACAGCCTGACGAAGTCAATAAGTTTAGGTAAGGAAAGATTTTAACATTCTAACGAATGTTGTGGGGTTTCGCCATAAAAGAAGACTTGAAAACTGGTGAACAGTATACAGAAATTACACCTTAATAACTTATACACTGAAAGTTCAAGTTTAAACAGAAAGCGAAATATCCAAGATACAAAACCAAGAGAGTTCTGTTATAAGGACAAGAGTTGGTGGATAGGACGATAATTAATTAACTGATTATTTGAGTAACCGAAGTTATCTAAACCAGTAATAACCAAAAGACATTACGGCGAAGGAGAAGACATCCATGCCAAGATCAAGTAATTAAATAAAAGAAAGAGGAAAGACATTCATTTGCCAGGACAAGGAAGGATAGACAGCTGCCTCTTTCTGAACACTAATCGGGTTTCAGGAACTTCACAGAAATTGCTTTGGTTAATCTAAAGAAAAATGAAAAGTTCTACTCTCCAAAAATTTTAAAAGGTTTCATGCTGTCCATCTTCAGCGCCTTGTCTATAGACTAACAATAATTTTGAAATAACATGTCTGCTTGAGTCCTTCATTTTATTGCATCAAAAATCATCTACAGAAAACTGCTAGTTGGCTTAGAGAGGATTCGAAAACAATTCGCTGATCCATTTGATTTCACTGAAAACCTGAAACATACGAACATTTGCAACAGGTTCATGGTATCATCCGATGTAACATCCACGTTCAGAAAGATCTCAACTAATACAACTACTGTTGTTATTTTTCGGCATTCTGGTCTCCTTTCTGTAAACATCTGCTACTAGTGCGTTCCCTAGATATATAATTCCAGTTTGACAGCTCACTTTACTGTTAGAAAAATTGAAGATTTGGGAAATCCACCGAGCAGACATCTGTATATCTAAACCTGATAAAACACTGTAATCGATTGAACAACGCGGTTAACACATTTTTAGTATGCCAAAAATAAAGCCTTCTGTCTAACCTACTTTGACTGTTCAATAACGCACATAAAAATACTGACTCCAATATGTAACATGAAAGTGATGGGAAGTTTCATTAAGTTGACACTGTCGCGCTACGTCTGGAAAATTACATTCGCCAGAGATAAATTCATTGAAAGCTTGTATCGAATGAAGGATACATAGATTTCAAGAGTTATCGATTTACATAGAGATAGGAATGTGCGTGAAAATGTGTGGATAAAGATCAAACCTCTATGAAAGAGACGTTTAAGAAACGTATACACCGTCTTGGGAGGCAAGAAGGAGAAAGACAAAAAATTGCTCTATAACCGCGCCAGGAAGGTAGTAGAGTAACAGCAGATATCTAGACAGAAGATGAACCGGTGCAAGGTTGAACGACAAAAAGCGAAGTAAAACACACTGAATAAAGAAAAAAAGAAGAATGCTATGAAGGACAAATAAAAGTTTATGACACCCTGCCGAATGGAGCAGAATATGCTGCAGATAAGACAGACTTTGGATCACCGTATAAGATAACTAGGTGGCTCTACGAGAAGCGATAACCACAAATGAGATCAATGAGAGATAGTTAATAAAACCAATTTATCAAGGGAGACGTTGGGAGGATCGTGTTTGGGAAATCATGAGTCAACCGACACCTCCCACTCGTCCGGAAACAGTGACACATGCTCAAGTGAACATCAGTCAGCCAATGAATCTTTTTAATCGTATAAAGTCACTGAAAAACGGGGAAAGGGTCAAAGTTGCTTGCCATTCCCCAGAAATACTGCAAACAGACCCCGGGACGTTAGCAAATTCTCAAACATCACTTGTGCAGAAGTTTTGGAAAGAAAGATACTTAGTGACTTCAAGGAGGGTCAAATTGTCACGCTATTAAAACTTGATAACCTAGCTCTTTGCGACAGCTGGCATGGACTGGCTCCTATCCAATCCAAACGGAGTATTCAGTGACATCATAATGTGGAAAGGGCTCTGGACGCGAAACTTTGCCTTGAACATGGTTGATTCAGGAAGAGGAAATCATGTGCGTACCAAACCGCAATAATAAGCATTGTCAGAGAACAGAGTAATGACTGACAGTGACCTCTCTACCTCAACTCCAAGTGCTGTGAAACAACTTTTAAAGTGTCAGTCGTGAAGTAATCTGCTCCAGACATCCATGAACCTCATTCGACAGATTTAGGATATACCAAATGCCGAGAGATTCACAACGGAAAATTCAGTGAAGCCATTCAAGTGAATATGAGAATCAAACATACCCGCCCACTACCACTGACAATATTCATAATTCCGGTGGACCGGATCATAAAACAGGACTTCGGTGGTGAGAAGTCAGACAGACATAATAGATTTAAATAGATTTGGACATTCTGGATGATTTCCGTCTGTCAAGCAGAGTCGAAAATGCACACATAAAAACAAGTAGGTCAACAAAAGAGACAGGAAAGACAGGAGTTCATGTGAGCGGAGATGACAAAAGTAATGACGACACTCAATAAACTAATTAGTGCATCAATTATTATCAAAAAGTGAATTATAAAAGCCATCAACCTTCATCATTTTCAACTAAAATGGCAGCATGGACGAGTACGTTGGAACCATTCAGCAACGGAAAACAAGATACAGAGAAGAACACTATTCCTACATCATGCTGGATATCATCACCATTTAACACATGGACATGATCTAGGTTTCAATACCAGTGTCAGATCATTGCTTTTGTATGGTTCATGGACCTAGCACATCACGAAAATCATTCCGAACAGGTTGCACGGGTCCATCTACTATTACCTCTAAAGAAGGAAATTGAGACTGACAGCACTTGTTTTAAAATGAAAGGACGACAGCCGCATGTCAAATTGCAGAGTGTCCCAGAAATTAGATGTATAACATTTCGTTATTGACAGTTAAGTCATTATTCATGCATGCGCTGACACGATGACTTGGCTGGACAGTTCTTGAATAGTTTGCATTTGGCTTCGAGGATTTAGGATTCCATAGAACTAACTGGATTTGTTTATTGCTTGAATACCTGAGGTTTTTCACTATAGTCGCATGGGTGTCTGTTGTCTAGGCTGAGAAAGGACTCATTATTTATTTCATATTACGAAAACGACGCCGCTTCTGAGACTGTTCCAAATGTGTCTTGTATTATTAGTACAAGGAAGCATTATTGACACGGAAATTGCAGAACAGAGGGAAAGGTATTCAACTGAATGTAAGTTATATAATTAAACAAATATGTAATTCTTGAGTTTATTGGAGAGTTATTCTATAGAAATAATGTGGGGTGGCTATCCTAGAGGGTTCCTTGAAATCTTACATTACCACAATTCTAGGCTGAAATAATGCTAGGTAATCTAGCATAGTCTAATAATGCAAGACATGTTGAGAATAAGAGTTGACTGCAATTAAATGAAATGAACTCTCTGATTATTGAATTATCAAATGAATAACCAGTTGATTTTCCATCTAAACAAAACACACCAATGTAAATAAACATTCATACTTTTTATGGATAAAAGAACAAATCTCATTTGTAATCTTTGATATTTCGGTTCCTTTGAAGATGATCCCCACATTTCGTACTTTGTCTAAAGATGTTAGTTATGCTGTTTGAATAAAATTAAACAGTTTGCAGGCACTTGAATCAAACATTAAAGTGGTGTAAAACAAAGGCGTTAAGATGATGTGCAGAAGTCAATTATTTGTAAAGTCCACTTGATAAATGTGGTATTCGAGTGTATGGAAATTACTGAAAAAATTATAATGAGAGCTTTAATCTGAATAATACGTTCACACATCATACTGAATTTTCAGTGTATGTCTACTTACTACTCATATAGGACTTTCCAGTAGAATAGTAGTCTGCTGTTCCTTCAAGTGCTCTGGGAGCTTGTCCACAGCATAAAACCTTTCTGTTACATTCTTTGATAATTCCGTGATACATGATTTGAGTGAGTGAGTTCCTGGATTATGTGAATGAGGTTTCTGGCAAAAGAAGGGAAAAGAAACGTACCAAATTATTACAAAGCCTGGAAAGCAAAACTCCAGAAATGCGATTTCTGCCAAACCTTGGTCGGTATGTTTATAATTTTTCTGATGTTGTTCTTGATGACACTGATTTTCAAGTATTATCCCTAGGCACTAAGTTTTGTGATAATCACGTTAGAATTAATAAGATGGATATGCAAGTCCAGTTTGAAAACTTTTATGCACAAACTGAAGGATTGACACCTTCATCATCTGAGGCAGTTGAAAGTCTTAAATCAACTCTCGTCGACTGTTGTTATAAATATATAAATAGTAAACGGAGACAGAATAGCTTATTGACCAAGAAACACAGGGAAGCCCTAGATAAGCTGCGAAATAATGAGAATATAATAATTTCGAAACCTGATAAAGGCTCTGGAGTAGTAATAATGAATAAGACTGAATACATAGATAAGATGAATAGAATACTCAGTGATCATCGAAAATTTCAAAAAATCGCATCTTCCGTCGATCCAACAGAAAAAGTGGAGAAACAGCTAATCGAGTCACTAAAAAGATTTAAACAACAAAACAGCATCATAGAAGGTCTATATAAATCTCTAAAGCCTACTGGCACGATTACACCAAGATTAAATGGACTTCCAGAAGTGCACAAAATTGCTGTGCCACTTCGACCAGTGTTAGACATGTGTAATTCCCCATATCACGCCACAGCAAAATGGTTAGTCAAGCTCCTGAAACCTCTGCATAATGAGTTGGTAAAACATAGCGTAAATGGCAGTTTTGAATTTGTTGGAAAAATAAGAGATCTTAATGTGAGGGACAAGTTTATGATATCTTTTGATGTATCCTCCTTGTTCACCAATGTACCGTTAATAGAGACAGTGGATTTTATATGTGAGGAGATTACCACACGAAACATAGACATCGGCATTTCTGTATCCACCTTGAAGGAACTTATTTTAAGATGTACAATGAACGTTCATTTCTTATTCAATAAGGAATATTACAGACAAATTGATGGTGTAGCTATGGGTTCCCCATTAGGCCCAATCCTAGCTGATTTTTTCCTCGCTAAGTTAGAGAATGGACCACTGAAAGGAGTAATTAGTGACTTGGATTTCTACTGTCGATATATGGATGATACATTTCTGGTCATAAAAAACGAGGACGATGCAATGAACATCCTTGACAAGTCTAATGATGCCCATTCAGCAATAAACTTTACCATAGGGAAAGAAAGTAATGACAGTGTCTCATTCCTAGACGTCTTCATGGCAAGGAAAGAAGATGGCACACTAAGAAGGAGTGTGTACAGGAAACCTACTACAACAGGTCAGTACACTCATTTTTTGAGTTTTGTACCTTTGAAATATAAACGTAACCTGGTTAAGTATCTGGTTCATAGAGCTAGGTTAATCTGTTCAGACGACTGCTTCAATGAGGAGCTTAAGATTATTAGAGAATTACTTAGAAAAAATGGTTATCCAGATAAGTTTATTGAGAAAAATATGAATTCATCACCTAGGACCGTCACTATGGCAACAGTTCCGAAAAAACCACTGTTCATAAAACTTCAGTTCCTCGATGACAACATCAGCGAAATAATAACACAACGACTGAAGAATGCAGTTAAAAGAGCTTATTATGCAGCAGAGGTACGCTGTCTCTTCACAACCACACCTATCCTACGTTCGAGTAATAAGGATAAACTACCTAAATTCGCCTCTTCTATGTGTATCTACCAGTTTGACTGCAGCTGCGGAGCCAGCTACATCGGGTGAACAATTAGGCAGGTTCATCATCGTATTTCCGAACATCATTCGGCATAGTTAAGCGAGGGACAAACGAGATCTATTCGTAGCTCTATTTTAGCCCACCTTGTAGATAGTGAGCATAAGGTTGACGTTAATACTGCATTTAAAATTATTTATCGTATTCCTACTAATCTTAATTTTGCTTTACGAGTTCGTCTTCTACATACAGCTGAAGCAATAGGAATCCACCTGAAGAGGCCAAACTTGTGTGTTCAGAAGAAATTTGTCCAGCCACTTTCCTTACCTTGGCCATCGTTACATGACTGTATAAACCGGACTACTTCATCCCCCTCCCCCTAAAATATTTTTTCTTTTAAAAACTATAATTGTCCAAATTATTTTATTTTTCTGACTACTTCATTTTTAATTACGTGTTATCCTTGTAAAAATTATTTTATTCTTATGTTACAAATTGTCATTGTCCAAATTGTTTTATTTTCTTTAAAAATCTGTTACGTAATCAACCTGTACACACGCTTATTCCTTAATTGCTCTTCATTTTTCCTAAATTATGCATTATGCAATCCACGTGTTGTAACCATTTCCACCTTTTAATTATACATATTAATTTTTCTTCGTTAATTATCACCCAATTGACATTTTGACACTGACTAATTATTGTTAACAAACTTATCGCCACTTGATTGGCAAATTGTTGTATTGTAATTAAAATGCTATATATATTAGAGTAGAGCCAGAGATGAGGATCTAATTGAAAAGTAAATATTTCTTCCTCAATCTTTCTCTTTTCTAAATGTCTAAATGGGGATATTTTCTATAATGAAAGTATGAAGTATCAAACAACTGATAAAATTCTTAATTCCATTTTCAACTTGAATGGAAAGGTGAAGGCACGAAATCTTATCACTGGCGTAATGTTATTTCATCAGTCATTCACAAATATTAAAACCTATTTTAAAAATGTGGAATATGCAAGTAAACAATTGCAAGTGATAAGAATAAACCATTCAAGTATACGAATCTGGCGGAGATATTGAAGTCTCAGCGTGTGACTTAATTATCTGCAGCTCCATATCAGCAAAGTGAACATTCTCATAACTCATTCTGCTCTCATGACGAATATCTCAAGAAATCTGTGTTTCAGTTTCCAGGGCTCCTTTCATCCTGCCTTATACTCTGGACCACTAAATATTACAGAACGGAATCAATCATTGCAGAAGATGCTTCCTTTGATGAAGACATTTATGAAGATATAAAGGACGATTTTAACTCAACAATGGTAGGTAGTGATATCTCTCATATTTAGAATATAAGATTGTCAAATATGAGAACGGAAAATGCGTCTTCTTGGGGGATAGCAATGTTTTATTCAACGGTGACATCACATTAAGCTTACGTTAGATAGATCAGTAACGAAGCAGTCATATCATTGACATGGAATTCTTTCAGGTTCTGATAAACACTTGTTGAATTTTGTCAGTGAACATACAGAGAGCGATATTATTCTTCTCAAATTGTTAGCTATCCTGAGGCAAGGAGCTACTTGCGCTATTTGACTAACAATGCATTAATATATAAACGTGAAGTTCAATATCCATAGAATATTGATGTGTTTGTTTACGTTATGCGGAAAATGACGGCATGAAAGAACGAAATGCAACTCTTGATACTTATTTACTTGTAGCTGTTGAGAATAAATTTTCCTAAAGAAACTTGATGGATGACTCTGAGTATTCGCAAACAGTGTGTACCAGCTTCAAGTTTCAGCATGAGAACTCATAATGAGTGAGAAACTTTACAGCGACATTCATTTTCTATTTGCAGTGAATAGACTGTGCGAAAGAAGTAAAATGAAGCTTCATTACCGAGCAAAATTAGGCGCAACAATTGTAGCATATGTATCACCCATATAAAATACGTGAGATGAGAATTTCCTTAGTATCGTAAACCAAACGTGCATCAACTACTTCAGCTATCTACTTCATTCAGTACATTTTCGAGTCCTTAAACTGACAACAGTCGGCTCCATATGAAAAAAATACTATTCTCTATTTCAAATGATCGACTGATAAACATACCGAAATAACTGTCCACATCATGGCGAATCCACACACTATTATGAGTATCTGTCAAGAGATTGATGAATCAAATCAATAATTAAGCTCAAAATATACAAAAATATGATTGCGGGTTTTATCGAGTAATTTATTTTAACTTAGCCTTCACGTCTGTTAATTATTAACTGAGATCAGTGTAATGACACATTACATAAATTGTAATAATCGTTCACAGGATGTTTCAAATATGCAGACATGCTAATCCCAGTCACTATTATCCACATTCTGCATCTAAAGTGTCAACTGGAAACCAAAGGAATCATGAAGTTCCATGTAGGTTTTAGTATATATTTTTTGAGTTCAAAATACCGCAGAGACTGAGAGTGTGCTATTGTTAGCCTCGTGTCTAACCGGGCTTAGAATGAGTAAGTCAAATAGGAAAAGTGATGAAGACGTCCGAGCATAAACACAACGAACGCCGATCACCATTACTTGGAGGAATCGTTACAAAGTTGTCATTCCATCTACCTGACCAGGTCAGAATCGTTTTCACTACAGGGGGTCATGGATGAGAATGTCATAGTCAGTTAGGATCGGAAAGACGATACACAGCAGACACACAGGACAAGATCTGAGATGTCATTACAAGTGTAAGTTCAAGGTATATTTGTGATAACTTCCCAGAATTGCCAAGCAGTAATTTAATCTACTAGCGAATTTCCCACCTTCCAATTCGAATCTTGCTGCCATTACCCTGTAGTGGCTGACTTCCCCTACAGAACAGTCATCGATACTTTTAAGGACATCATCACAGCCATAGACTCAGTGTGCTCGTGGTTGAAATCTTGATGACAGAAGTAGATTATAGCGTCTCCGATTGACAGTAGAGTGTCCACCACCATTTCATCTCCCTTACAGTTTTCTAGAAATTCTGTACAATATCTGCTTGCTCATATTGCTGTCAGCGCAGTCCCTTCAGCTTTAACCATACTGTAAGTATTCCACGTTGTCTATTTCCATCCTGTCGAAAAAAGATGGATAGGTCGATTGACGTCAAGGAGATTTCATTGCCAGCGACGTTTCTGCCTCCTGATTCCAGAGAGAAAGAGATTTTTCCTACATGCTTTAATGATTCAGTAATGATCCTTCTGGTTTACATGCGGTTTCTTTCCCAGCTTCAAGACCATTCTACCTTCTTTTCCTAGCTTACTAACATATCATATTTTACGATATTTCATTAGTGACAGATAATTTGTAATTAAGAGCAACTCAGAGTTCATCTGATTACTTACGTCAAATTCTCGCCAGAATATGAAAGGGAAGAATATTATTACAAAGGCCAATTCCACAATGAAAGTGACAAGTATGAACTCCCCAAAACTCTTGAGCACATCGAATCTGTTGACGACACTGACAGCTACTACAATTCCCGCAATAATCACAGTAATTGTCCATGTGACAAATGTCCACCAGAATGGTAAGTCGATGAGTGGAACAGCTGCAGCAAAGGCAACGATTATTGTCTGTGGGGGTGGGGAGAAAGAAAAGCAGGCAATATTGAACAGAGAAAAATGAAATGCAGCCATTAACAAAAAAGTGATCTTGAGAATCGATGAGTATTCTGAACTGATGTTGATAGATGAAGTCAGTTGGATGGAAGCGGTAAACAATATCCTTGGGATTATGGGTGAACAACAAGAAGGCGTGCGTAAACTGAATCATTATATACTGCATGCCCATAGCAGCTACAATAACAGTTGCACAACAGAACACAATCAACATGGCATTGATTTCACTCTGACTGTCAGTGATTACGAACATTGAACGTTTGTTCATTGGCCTCAGTCGTCATTGGTGGACAAATGCAAAAAAGAATACGAATAAAACTTTTTATATAGACTTAGTACACAGTATTGATTTTAACTGTCGAAGAATACAATTTCTTGTCATTCACTGTGTTTTGGAATTAAAGTGGATATCTGTGATGAGTGCTTGTCGATTCGGAGCATCTTCGGAAATAATAGGAACTTAGGATTAAGTTCCTTGACACTGACATTACCACAAAGTTGACACATGCCTCTTATGAAATAAATTAGGAAGATGTATCCAGCCGGTGTATCTCTTTCTTTTTCCCAGAAAGCATTTATCCAGTCAATCGAAAATAACTCAGTTAATAAGTGTTAGGCGGCAGGAAGAAACAATTCCTTATCTTTAGGTTTCAAATAAATTAGTTGTTGTCGAATGCACCTCTACATTTCTATCTTCAATTCATTCTGCAATACCAAAGATGATCGATTGGATTCAACCACTCAAACTGCAATGACAATGGTTTAGGCAGGATACTACAGGAAACTAAACACACTTCTACTGTGAAAATATTAAGGAAATCGTTTTCAGCCAATGGGTTCAATTCTACTTTCGACGATGTGTGTTGAAACCTGATCACATAAACTTCTTCCACTCTTATAAGTCACTGATGTGTTCCTAATATGGAGTGAGCGTTTCAAGAGCGACCGCAGTTGCTTCAATATTTTTAACATTCGTCGTCCAGTCAGTTGAGAATCTTAACTCTAGTTTATCGCAATTTCTTTATATTCCGAAATTAGATACAACTAGGCGTCAGAATTTTCACCTCTGAATTGGCTTCTTGAGGATAACACGACTTTTTTCTTACTTTTAGTGTAAAACGTATCCATTGTGTGCTTGACTTAAAGAAATTGCGTAATTTTTATGTGGAGTTACAAGAAAGGCAACAAGCGAAACATTCCTTATATGAACATGGAACAATCTGATATACAAGAGGAAAATATTATTGTTAATACTGTACTTTCATAAAATGAGTGGCGAAACGCACTCCACTTACAGCAATTATCAAGTAGATATAGTTATAGGGGAAGGCAAACTGTAACTGCGGTATCAGTAGCATCTCAAGTTGTAGAACTGTTCCCAGAATTCTGTATAGTTAGAAACAAAATTAAAGAAAGCTATAAAGAATGGGATTCTGAAGATGAATTTGTACAGAATGAGGAAGAGAAGTGGGGATTGACATCTCCTAAAGCTTTATCGATTTAATATGTAGATTGCTACCAGAGTGCTTGAACTGCACTTGAATCAGCCATTTCAAATGCAACTGTGTGATATTGATAATTGTGATAATAATAACAATTTATTCCGACAAATATGTAACACATGCATGAATAAATTATCGCTTTCACATGCAAGATCATATCTCAAATAATAACACAACATGTTCAGTTGTCAAGGCTTAAATTTTTGATTTGTGAGACACTATTGGTTGGTATGAAACACTAAGTTGCACATGTAATTGATAGGTATTAGAGTGCTTCTTTTCTTTCCCACTTAGTCTGCCATCAATATCGATTTCATGTCTACCTCATATGGAATGATGGTTTCAAAGTTTATGATAGCTGGCTCAAACAGAAACCGAATTCCACCTCACTATTTTGAATCTCAAGTGGCTTATTCACTGTCTTTCTCTCCGCTCTACTGTTTTCTATACACCTGATTATGAGATATAAAACAGATGGGGTGATGCATGGATAAAAAGTAAGTGTTATACGTACCCACACGTCCATGAAAACCAAGTATTTTCTTTCATCCATTCATAAATTTGCGAACTTCAAAACATTTGATTAACAGGATTAGTCAAAAATACACAACTTACACAAGTAACACAAGAGCGCAGATTTCCCACACAATTGTAATCTGTACTGACACTATGATGAAAGTCTGTGAAAAAAGATGAATAAAATGAACCTCCTCTAAAAAATGAGACAAATACCTTCCAAATGAACTCCCAGGTCCTTCGTTCAACAGAAGACTGATTAGAAACAGGCTTGAATAATTTGGTTATGAGTAAAAACGATGGGAAACATACTTCTGTGTTACTTCGTGAATTCACAGATTCTTGAGTTGAAGACAGTTCATCCGATGGGGTAAATGGGAGGATGGTTTGGTTTTCATTTTTGACTGATGACATTTTCAAAAGATTCATAATAAATTAAACAAGTAGAAAAGAAGACGACATTATGAGAGGCTCATTTAAAGATAGTGATGCGCCCCTATGAATTAGGTCCCTTTGCATGGACTACTGGAGAATTTGTGACTCACGAATACAGCCCATCCAAATGGTTGGATACAGAGAATCCGTTTATTCCATTTTTCATGTCGATTTTACTAATTATGCCGAAGCGTGCACGCAATGGCAAAGCTACTACACTTTTCTACTTGAACTATTGAGTTTCAAAGCTGGAGAGCAAAACATCACGATGTGATACACTTTACACACTGAGTTCTCTGTATCTGCAGATTTCTCTGTTGTCACGGATGAAAGATTTGATTTGAGTATCTCAAATACTTAAAGACCAGTTCTGCAGCATCATTATACATTCCCTATTACAGAGTCTTGTGCCAAGCTTACTGAAAATGTATCAATCATAGTGTTCGGAAGACAGAACAGCGTGACGTGATACACACTCCACATTGAGTTCTTTGCACTTTCTGATTTTACTGTGGTCACAGGTGACAATTGTGATTTGGGTATCTCGAATACTTGCAGACGATTTCTTGAGCATCACACAAGATTTCACATTATCTAGTCCTGAGCCAAAAGTACTTGAAGTTCTGCTCAGTGTTCAGAAGACTCTTCATATTACAGTAAAGATCACTAGATATGACTATTGTTCTTATTTACGCCATATCAGTAGGCCTTTCCTAAACTATCGAGATAATCTTTTGGACAGCGAAGTCAACTTATTCAACATAGATCTTCACACCTGCAGTCAGATGGTTTACAGAATTGATTAGTAACTTGTAATTACGTATTATTTTATGCATAGTCACACGTTGTAACAGAATCTTCAGAATGACATTGTTTAATCTCGACATAAAAATGAAAGATTATGCGAAATGTTGATTGACACATGGTAAGTATGTATGTGTCACAGAACCTATTTAAAATATGAAGATATATTGAGACATATTCTTGTTCAGAGACTAGAACCTGTGTATGTTCCTCGACATTGATATTGCACGAACCAGCATAGTGTTGACAAATAATAAATGGATCAATCTTTTGTGATTGTGATTATTCTATTTCTGATAAGTCATCATGGTTGACAGGATGCATCAGTTCTTGCAGACGAAATCCGATTTCGATACACTATTCATCAACTCAATTCATTCTCATTATTTTGACTAGAGTTGTATAACTATTATAGCCAGTTCCAAAGTAAACAGTATTATTAGTATTCATTACAGTGTTGAGTGGGGCGCAAACCATGTTCAAGTAAAACCCAGTTGATCAGTCAATATGGAGAATCTTAGTACATATATATATATATGTTAAGATAAATAATGTCCGAATATGTGAAAGCATTCTAGTCTGGGTCCTGAAATCCGAAAACTCCAGACAGATATTTCAGATTAATTCATCCCATAAGTCGAAAAAACTTAAGACGCTTAAAAATTCGAGGGACGAATATAAGTGTTGCGTTACAATTTAGGGCGGCCTTATCTTCTCTCTCATGATAGCTTCAACATCTCGATTTCAAAAACATCCATATCTATGGTGAGCATGTTACGACTCCTTCATTGTGTAAAATTCCCTTCAGATATACTTTGCATTGACCACCACTGACTAACTGCATTCCTCTTATATTTCACTGGGTGTCCAATTCTGAATGGAATCTTTTATTCAGTTGGGGAATATAGAATCAGTAATTTTCAAATTACCTGATGACTCCATAGGGTTCCCAGTCAAGGTGCCAGTCAATGAACAATGCAAGAAATGGAACATTATATTAAAAGACATATTCCGCTGTAGACAATCGAAATAGGAACTAAGTGAATAGAACGCGAATGTAGCAAGAATAACTAATTTTAATTTATAGGTCGAACTGTTCTCTGTTCTACTTCTTGAATGGAAAGCGGAATAATAGGATGAAGGGCTACATGTAGAATCGAAACTACACATGAAAGCGTTTATTCACAGCTTCATCGATTTGTTATTCACTTATTTCAGGATTCTACTATCATCACAGTGCGTCTGCGCTCTTCACGTTAATATGAGAATTCAAGGGTTATGATTACTTTAAAATGAGTCAGTTGAACTGGAAAGTCACTTATCCAGATAGTCTATGGGTGTCCGATTCTCAATAGAATCTTTTATTTAGTTAGGGAATATAGAATCATGCATTTGTTATGGGGCTGATTCAGGAAAAACTATCTCGAAATATTAGGCAACAAATCAGTGATTCACGCATGTATCAAAATAACCCTTACAAGAGTTTCTAAAAAAGGGCATTATATCATTGAACTGCAGAAAATACAATCACTTTTGAATAAGACTTAGTTGTTGCTGTCGTTGTGCATCAACAAAACCACGTTGACATGAAACATAAAATAAGGTCCTGGAAAGTATGTCATCATAATGAATAGTCTCATCTAAACACTAAGAGTATCAGGGCTGAAAATAAAACTTGCCAGAATATACTTTCAAGTTTAAAATGAAATTCACATATAAAACTTAAAACTTACCCTCGTTTGATGAAGTTGTCATTGTCGAAATTGTATTGATTGCAGAAGTTGTAGAATAAATGTGCGATTCTATTTAGGAATATCAGAATATTTAAAAATCAGCCAAGGCAAATTTATACGATGAATTAAAACATGGACTTTGATATAAGATAAACAACCAATGGAACATATTGAATGTAGTCGATTGAATTAGAAGCTACACTACATGTAAAACTGTATGAAGCGACACATAAGAATGAAGTCTCAGAAAGCTGTCGGAAAACACAAAGCACGTTAGTTTATTATCATTATTATTGTTCCCTTGGGTTCCTAGTGGAACATAGAGCACCACTTGCTTCTGTCTTCTACTGTGTTTTTCACCTGCATCCATGTAATTCCACACTGTTTCAACTCCTCTTCACACGATCTCCTCCATGTCACCCTTAAAATTCTCACTTGCCGCTTCTCTTTCAGGTTCCACTTGAGAAATGGTCTGACGCGCGATGTCACCCAGCGGCCTCCTCAGCAAGTGTCCAATCCATCCAATCCACTTTCTCCTGCATATTTGTTGGGCGATTGGTTTTGGTTTTGTTTGTTCCCATATTTTCTTGTCGGTGACTCTTTCAGGCCATCGGATCTTCAGTAGAGAGTGAAGACAGTTGTTGATAAGAGTCTGCAACTGGCTGTTGGAAATATTCTTTGTGACTAGTCAAGTTTCTGACCCGTACAGAAGAACTGACTTTACGTTTGTATTGAAAATCCGACTGAATTTTGTTGTCGATGCTGAGTGATGAAGATTTCCAGATTGGTTTCAGGCTGATGAATGTGTTTCTCGCCTTCCCAATTCTCAATTTCACATCCTCGTCCGTTCCTCCTCTAGCTGAGAAAATGCTCCTCAGATAAGTGAATGAAGTAACCTCTTTCAAATCCCTCCCGTTGATGGCGATTGACGTTGGATGCTGTTGCTGTTGTTGGTTGGTTATTTTCATAACCTCCGTCTTGTCTATGTTTACCTGGAGTCCTGTCTTCGCCGGCTGCTTCTTCGACCAGTTTGTCGGTTTTCGCTAGTAAGTCTTCGATTGTGTGTGACATCAAACATAAATCATCCACGCGCGAAATCCAGGTCTTCTAGGTTCTTCACGTTGGTCCAGGATATCCCTGTCTTCTCGTTTCCCACTGCCTCATGCATAATCATGTCAGTCCTGGCACAGTTTGGAATATCATTGGTGATAGTAAGCACCCTTGTCTGACTCCTGTGTTTACTCCAAACGCCTCGCTGAGTTTTCCGTTGTGGATCACTCGACATGTGCCGTTGTCGTACAGCTGTTGAATAAGGTTGATGAATATTTGGGGCACGCCATAGTACTCGAGTAGTTTCCAAATTACTTCACGATCAACGCTGTCGAAGGCCTTCTCAAAGTCTATAAAGTTGAGGTAGAGGTTTGATTGTCATTCCACGCTTTGTTCGATGATGATGAGTAGAGTTGCAATTTGGTCAGTACATGATTTGCCTTTCCTGAATCCAACTTGTTCTGGTAGGAGATCTGTATCCAGTGATTCCTTTATTCTTTCCAGGATGATGCGATTCAGCATGATTCCTCGCCAGTTCTTGCAGAGTGGGGCCTAATTCGGCCTTCCTTGGTAGTTTCACGAGATAACCTTTCCTCCTGTCAGTAGGCATCTTTTTCCCTCCTTCCAAACCTTTTGCAATCATGGAGGCAGCATGTCTGCCGTAGTCTCTGGGTCCGCTTTTAGTGCTTGAGGGAGTATTCGTTCTAGTCCAGCTGCTTTTCCAGCTATCAGAAGCTTGATTGCATTCAAGACTTCAGCTCTCGTTGGGTGATTGGTGTCAACTTGCAGTTGTGTACGTGCTGTTGTTGGTATTTCTGGACGGGTTGTAGTTGGTGGTTGTTTCAAGAGTCCTTTGAAGCGATCCGCCCATTGTTTAATCTGTTAGTTAATCTTCGCAATTCAAGAGATCTACTCTTAACAGATAAACAGAAAAGAATTAAACTACGATGGATTTATGGCAATCGGAGAGCCACTGAGCACTCTCTGCCACCAAGTAGTTGCTTCACTGTACTTGGAAATTCCTCATCAATGCGAATCTGTGACTCCGTAGGGTTCCCAGTAAAGATGCTAGTCAACGAACAGTGTGAGAAATGGAACATTACATGAGAAGAAATATTCTGTTGTAGACAATCGAAAGGCGAACTAAGTGATTAGAACTGAGTGTAGCAAGAATAACTAGTTTTAATGTTTGTGTAGAAATAATCTCTGTTCTAATTTTGAATTGAAAAACGGACCAAACGAGAAATAGGCTACATACAGAATTCAAATTCTACATTAAAGCGTCTGTTTGCAGACTCATAGATTCGCTATTCACTTATATCAGGATTCTACTTTCATCACCGTGCATCTGCAACCTTCATATTATTATAAGAACTGATAAGTGAACATCCGTTTGTGATGAGTCAGTTGAACTGGAAAGTCACATAACGAGATGATGAAGTGAATGATGTCAGAATCTGTTAGATCAAAGTGAAATGGAAGAGAATGGTTTCCTCGAATCAAGGAGGCCATAGACATTTTGCCTGAGTGTTGAACCTAATTGATTTTGTGATTGAATATGTAGTACGCAGCTAGTGATTTGGCAGGTGTTAGCTGCAGATATATTCGCACATGTGATTTCGATGAGTGGCTGATTTACGCATTTTGTGTTTGAGCTAGACAGATAATTCATACACTACATTATCTATGATACCTCGTGGGAGACGCACAGTTTAAAAGTAATGAAGTCTACGTATTCTCAGATTCAGAGTGATCAAGATAACAGCAAAGACTGACCCTGTCTAACCATCGGGTTACAGTTAATTAAAATCTGAACTGACACCACAGGCTCTTGTCTCCTCCTCTTATGATCTCCTCGTTTTCACATCGGTTGCCGACTGTTTGGGTTATATTAGACGGTCTAGCGTACGATGTCACCCAACGTTCTCCTTAAAGTGTGTTCTGTGCATGTTTATTCGACAGCAGTTTCTTGATTGGATTGTCCCACTTGTTCCTTGTAAACATTCTTTTCTAGCATATTCAACTAACATTTTTAACTATTTTGAAGTTACCTTTCATTGGCAGATCTCATTGCATGATTTCATTCTTAAATAGTAATCATGCGAAATTCAGAAGAATTCTTGAAAAATTCAGATGTCTGTGTTATGTATTTCAGTTCTTCATCGAGTAGTGTTTCGGGACTTTTGAGAGCTAGACTATATAAATAACCTCAGTATTTGAGTGGAACATCACTAGACTTTTGTTGTCGTCTCGTTCAAAACTATCTGCTTTTGTTCAGACTTCTGCTCCTCTATTTCATTCATATTCCAGTGGCGTACATTAGATGAAAACCTTGAGTGTTGTTGGTTCAGTGGTAGAATGCTTGTCAACCACGGAGGAGTCCTGAGTGCAGCTCCCAGACACGCATTCTTGGACCACGTTTATTCGCCTGTCATAAGTGTGCAAAAGGCTGAAAGGTGGACATGAGTCTATCTACTTGACGTGAAACGTCACCGTTAGTGGCGAAAATTCCAAGCACTTCCATTGGTTGGAACACTGAATTCTAGAGTGTGCCGTCTAATTCTAGCTTAAATCACATCAAGCAAGTAGTTTACCCATTTTCGACGAAAATAAAATTGACTATGTGGATTTGAGATGTCCACAGAGTGTTTGAAGCAGTTTAGGCTGCTCAGATTGCAGAGGAAAATTAGATAATAAGACAGAGAAGAGGAGAAGAAACCGGCTATTTTTGAAGTTAAATGCTGATCCAATAATCAACTTCCGTCATCCGGATGGCAATCACGAGCACAGTGTGGATATTGCTGTCATCGGCATCAAGGGCTCTTGTGAAGTGGGATGAAATGGCCTCGAAGAACAAGAAAGTGATATTCTACTCGCACTTGATGAAAGCACCTAGTAATCTCAAGAAATCGAAAATTCAGTCTATTGGATGCAACACCGAAAAACGAAGGACAAACAGACTCAGATCCCTCTCTACCCAGCGTAAGGAATCTACAAGATCCTGTTCGAAACAGTAAAAGAAGCTGTTAATGGAAAATAACTGGAATTTAAAATTTATGCAGCCAGATGAAACTGGCAACAGAAACGAGAGTAAAGTGGAGATTCACTACTGAGGCACAATATTCTCCCACTTAACTGCATGATGATAACAGCAGCTTTATTCTGGACAATATGCAGAATTCGAAGCGTAGGTTATCGCAAACTATCTGATCACCACCCAGGATCTAAAACATTTTATGCAACGCCCTGTTGTTAGATCTTGAGCTTAACTAATCTCTTAAACTGGTAGTTTCTTCCAAATGTTTCAAAGGATATACAACAGAACGCGATTTCACTTGAAAATTCTGTATAAGTAGTAAGTAAAAATACTCTGAAAATGTCTTTTTTTTATAGACATTTTATTCAGAATAAATTATTGCTATTAAATAATGTTTTTCAGCACTTAGTGTTTACACTAATTCCCATTCAATTGATTACCACGTTTCTCAAGTGGATGTTACAAAGAACTGACTTTTGTCCTTCTTCATAAAGCTTTGATTCTACTTTACCTTTATCTTCAGTTTGTTCGTATTCACATAGTTCGCTCAAACAGAGAAGGCGGACAACGCCTTAGGACAAAGTACGAATTTAGAAAATCGTCTTTGAAGAAGGCGGAGAATCAAAGGCTGCAAATAAGATTCGTTAATTTATTCTTGAATAATGTGAATGTTTTAATCACATCAGTTTCTGTGGTTTAGACCGACTAAAAACGCAATAACCATTTAATATTTTAGACGATTCTTACACTAAGATAAATTTACGTCTTTTTATTTTCATTTCTTTTCAAATTTATTATCAATTGATCATGTCTCATTTGATTTGACCATATTCGGTGTTCTGCTTGTTTTCTTGTGTGGTAATCACGCAGATATTGTGAAGGATCCTAATAGATGCTCCCTTTACTGCTATCATATTTTATGTGTTCTGTTTAGTTCAACAATGAAATCAAGAATGTCAGGCTTGATCATCATTTGTGTCATTACCATATAACTGAACTTCTTTCTCACTCTCTATTTATTTCGGAATGAATGAAATATCCTTGTCCTGAAAATCAGTTTTCTCTTGATTTTCACACTGTGTGACAAAACGGGAGTAAGTTGTGTTTCAAGCGATATATCTGTTTTGATAAAGTCTCACAGTGTTATACAGTAATGTTTACTGAGACTTAATCAAAACAAAATTTTACCCATAATGGAATGATACCTACATTATTCCAGTAATTTAAGACTAATCCGTTCATAGAATAAAGTAGGTGAGACGTGGAGATGGATTTCATTGAAATTTTCCAGGAGTTGTCCTTGATGTGAATCTCTGATATTTTAACACTACTCAGAAATAAAACTTTCTGGTAAACCGTGTGACATACATCATTACGACATATGCTGTCCCTCTAGCAGCTTTCAGTTGGCTCTATAATTGATCCCTACAACACAATTCAATTATTCGGTGAATGAATACTACTGCTTAAACTGTTTGGTAATGTAGTATTCTTTTTTGATTTCCTACCCATATTCTGGGTTGGATTTATGGTGGAAGCACTGGTATACATCGCTTAGCTCGGAATAAGATCAATGAAGAGGGAAGGTTCACCTAAGAATGCAAAGCAATTCAGTAAAGACTAGCATTCAATAGTCTTCTCTTTCATCATTCTCCTCTCCTCGATCAGCTTTCATGCATCCAGTGAGAGTCATTATTCCTTGTCGTATCCGCTTCTTTGAACATCTCCTTCAGATAGTTCTAGCTATCTTCCAAACAGGTGTTCTCAGTGATACCACGTAATGTGTCTGACTTTTCTTTGAATAGATCTGTAGTAAAGGCAACAGTTATAGTCTTATCCTTCAGTTTCTGAATGTTGGACTTGAATTACAGTGACCTGTCTCCAGTTGATCTGAAGGATTTCAGGTTCACCTTTAAGGTTTATTCAGCTGAATGATGGTCTGAGTCCACATTTGCTTCCCTTATGAACTTTGCATCCAGTAGGCCAGCTGTTTCTTAACTTCCGTGAGCAGCATTGTGATGAAATCTATTTGGATTCTGGTGTATCCATTAGGCGAAATCCATGTTGTTTTGTATTTGTCCTTGTGCTACCTCCAATCACCAAATCATGGAAAACCCAGAAATCTTTCAATAATTCTCTCTTCTCATTCATTTCACCGAGTGAAAGCCTCTCTACCCATAATCAGTTTTCCTCCAGTATGGCTTGCTTACTGGGTGGCTTTCATATCGCCTATGAGGATTTTGATGTCAGCATTAGGGATGTTGTCCATTACTGGTTGTAGTTGTCTGTCAAAATCTCCTTCTTCTCTTTTAACGCGTTGTTAATAGTAGTGGATAATTGGAACCTTCCTTCCAGGCTTTTCAGTTGAATCCTGTAATCATTATCCAGCGGCTTGGAACTGTTTCCTACTGCATTAGGAATTTGGCTGCCACTGGTGACATCATAACAGCCACTCACTTCCTTAGTGTGCTCGTGGTTGACTGGACCAGAGTAAATTACTGACTCACCAATTGACAATTGTCACGATCTGCACCCATTCCCTCTGCTTCCGCGGATTGTTAGCATTTGTATGCCATATCTTCGCATTTCTTTCGCTACCTGGACAGCCTTTCCAATCTCTTACATTGTACGAATATTCCACGCCCCCATTCTTATTCTTGCTTTCATCGACAGAAGACAAATCGGCTGGCTGACTGGCTTCCCAAAGGCAATGTTTCATCAGCACGCGGTGTCATTTCGTCTCTCCGAAGCGAGTGAAGATTTAGACTGTTGTTATCTGAATTCTTTTGTATTTTCAATATAGCTTCTGTGCTTCTTAGTTTCTGTGACAGTGTGATAGCTTTTGTGGTGTAGGATCGCTAGCGCATACCCAAACCTCCCCGTCTTTATCCAAGACTGAGACCGGCTAGAAAACTACCAAACTACTTAACTAGGCAAGGTTAACAACATATTAATAGTGGGTGTATGCAGGGCTACGTTTTGAGTTTAATTCATCCGAAGTGAACTTGGTCCACATTGAAAATCAACATTCTTATGCTAAAGGGTTGGCGTCAGTGTGTGATCGACCAGCACTGATAATGTCTCTTATTGCCTCAAACGACGGAACCTTAAACATACCATAACAAAGTTTCTGCTCTAACACAATTGAACAAACAGCATTCATCTGATGCACTGTAAAATGCCTTATCTCTCTCATCAGTTACCTTTAAGCAAATTTAATATTCGGTGAATGGCATATTCTGTGGACGCACTTGTGACATCATAGTACTAGCCCTTCACTGGTTCGTCATTAGTTGGTAGTCATTATAAGGGGCCTTATTCACGAGGTGACTGAAACTTTCTAATCCAGTTAATGTAATGAAATTTTCACGTTTTAGTATCTCAAACGCTATGAATTTGTTTAGACCTGTAGTTCGTGCCCTCCTGAAATCTTTAGTTTTCAGAGACGAGGAATTTTGATATCGGATGAAATAACTGTCCACAGCCTATTCGTTTTCCAAAGCCCTTTAACTGTGTTGACGTATTTAAATAATTGAGATTGGTCCCAGTGCATTGAAATATTTACAAAATGTGGTTTGTGCTCTCTGATAGTTTAATGATAATTCATTTCTAACTGCTCTGCCAATAGTTTCACAAGTGTTTATTCCGTTTTCGAATTTAACTGACTCTGGTTAAGTTGTGCGTTTTGTGACTGTCTATCCAATATCAAAGTCCATCGAATTCATCTCCTTTGAACAAACATGTTTACCTTAAATGATTTTCATCTACACTGACTTGTATAAAATTAGGTGCACACACCTCTTGCCATTAGTCAGTGGTGCCTACAAATTTCGCGACGATGAGGTCATCAAACGAGAGTAAGTCTTTTTATTTTCATATCATAATTGCATGATAGGCTCCTGAATACATTGTGGTGAGATTTATTTCCATCCCTGATACTTGTAATGCTTAGATGAGACTATTCATTATGATGACGTACTTCTCGTGACCTCATTTTATGTTTCATGACAACATGGTGTATCTAATGAGCACAGTTTAAGCTTCATTCAACGTCGAAATGTGACTCATAACTAGATTGAATGGTTAAGATATCCTCCACAAATTCAATGATGTATTGATTTTGTATATAAGTTCGTAAAGCTACTTACTAGAGATGAGTGAATCACTGAATTGCTTTCTGAAATTTTAGGCCTGTCTTCACTGAACCTGTCACATTTAGAAACGAACCATCCAACATTCATTGTTAATTCGAAAATTCTCATTGTGAAATCGATTCTCATATATTAGGGGAATAAGACGGGAAGGCAATTGGCCACCGAGACAATTGAATGGGAAGAATTTTTTGAAGGGACTTTGGTCCTATGATTGAGTAATGACTTGTTCAGCATTATTACGGATATTTACGAAATCAAGATAATGGGGCTGTGATGAGGGTGGATATAAGCCTACTCTTATTTGTAACACCTCAACTCTATCTGTTTCTTGAGTTGTTTCGAGTACCTCTGCTAATATTGAGATCTGGTAGAAATAGTCTGAAATATTTCAAGCACCAAAGGACTCCAGATTGTAGCCCTTTCATTAGCCTGGCAGTGGTATATATATAGTCCAATCCACCGTTTTAAAAAGTCAACAAATGAAGCAAGTGCAAATCATTTGCACTCAGTTCAGTTCTATTCTGAATAAAAGATAAACATTCTGAAAATGTAGAAAGTAGCGATATATAATTCCGCTGAAAAGAAATATTCTGAGTTCGTCCCAAGAGATGGTTGGCGGCTGTCAATCATCACCACTTATCAGAAATTAAGTATCCAAACTCAGACCGGCCTGATGGATTTGTTATCTGAAAAGACAAAGATTGTTTATAGAAAACCAGCACCAACAAAGTCACCCAGTTTTCATACCCGAAACGATGAATGTCTTTGAATGTATCTGCATACTTCAAATCAGCTGTTTGACACATACAAAATAGCCACTCATCATTCGACACTTGCTACAATTTTTCATTTATAGTCAAGATTCAATACTGTCAGTCGAAAGAATCTTTTTCGATATCATACTTCCCACGAACTGGTGAGAAATTGCATTTTTCCTGATCAACACGTTCAACTACGTAGGAGTTATATTCCCGGGTGATAGTAAGTAGTAAAGTATGTACATTACAGCTGATTCTAGAAGTGATTTGATGGTTGACTTCACTGTTCAACAGATTATTGCGATATCGGAGAAAAGAAGTTTCGTTGACATGGATTACATAGGTAGCAGAGTCATATCTGCTGAGCTTGACAACAAAATGATTGGTCGCCTGCATACCACCAGCCAATGTTTCATTACCTTCGCCATGTGATTGAATACTGTAAAGTGTAGGATGAAGTGAAAGTACGGGTCTGTATGGGCACGAGGTACTCACTTCACTCGAATCATCTGTGACAGCATTCGTAAAAGCTGTGTATCGAACGAGTAGGGTGTATAGTGTGTATCACTTCATGTTGTTGTCTTTATCAGCTTTGAAACATGGTAGTTGAAGGATAAAGATATGAAAAGTTTAATGGTCTCCACTCCGTTCAGTAACTATGCCATCAGGTGCATACTGAAATCAATAATGTGGTAAAACATGACACAAATGAAGTAAACAGATTCTCAGCAGTTAACTATTTGGTCAGAGAATATCGCGTTTTTTGTCCTTCTTCTTCTATTTACAATTTATTATGAATCCTTTGAAAATATTATCAATCTAATTCTCATATTTACCACCCAACAGATGAACTGTCTTCAAATCAAGACCCAATGAATTCACAGCGTAACACAGAAGTATGTTCCTCATTAGTATTGCTTATAAACAAATTAATCAAGTCTGTCTCCAACCAGTTTTCTGTTGAAAGCAGGAGCAGGGAGTTCATTTGGAAGGTATTTGATGCATTTTTCTACATAGCATTCACTTCACTGTTCACTTTTCAAAGACTTTAATCGTAGCGTCACTCCAGATTGCAGTTGTGTGGGAAATCTGTGCCTTCGTGTTACTTACGTAAGTTATGTGCTGTTGAATAACTAGTATTGTTAATGGATTGCTCTCAAGTGAAACACTTCGTCACTGGATGTCGAATACTCTTTGGTTTATCTGGTCGTGCGGGTATGTGTAACACTCATATCTTTCATGCTCCTCAAATATACAACCCAATTTATTATCCATCTCATAATTAGGCACACTATGGAGAATAATGCTGAGAGTAGGACAGTGAATGGCTATTTGGATCTAGAATAGTGAAGTGGAACTGCTTTCTTTCTGAGTAAGTTATTCAGACACCATGATTCTACGAGGTTCGAGTTGTAGACATAATACAAAAAATACTGATAATCCACGAAGGCTGCAAGCAAGGCTGAATCACACTGATAACTAAGAATACTTGTACAGCTGAGTGTTTCATTTCGGCATCTTAATCCTAATTTAATACTTCAGATGAATTGTACTTATTGTCAGTATTACTCTTGTATTCATCATTCGAATAACATAACTGAGTGTAGTTGAACCACCTTGGTGGCGGTTATCACATTTAATCGACGAAATTTCAGGGGATGTCTATTATCCTCCCCCCTCCTAATCCAATAGAAATTGATCAGGAGAATTGCCATCCTCATTACTTTTATTTCTTTTGTTCGTGTCGATATAGAATTCTGGGGACACTTCTGCAACTGGAAATGCTGCTTATACCACAATTACAATTCGCCTTCCCCTACAATTATATGTACTTGATAGTAACTGTGAGTGCAGCTCGTGTCATCATTCTCATTTATTTTTATGAAAGCGGTAAATTCATTAAAAAATGGTTTGTCTTGTGTATCAGATTGCCTAAAGTTTAGACACGGGCATCTTTCGCTTGTTGCCTTTCTCATAACTCCCATCACAGGTTACGTGATAACTCTCGATGAAACGTTTGGATTATACAGCAATTAAGTTGAAATCCTGGCATCATAAGTATTCGGCCGAGGGAAGGAATGACGTCACTCGAACACACTAGTCGACACATCATTTCCAATGATTCGTATGTCTTGATATGGTTTATCAAAATAGAATTGTATCCCCAATGGAATTCGTTTGAGTGTTATCGAGGAAGAAGCCTCGATTTCATTCGAGATTCAAACAAACCAGTTCTGATATAAAGTAAATCATGATGAAGTTGAAATAATATTCCCAGCTGAGTGGAATAACCGATGAAAACGATAACAATTAAGTAGTTGATACCACTAATAATACGCTGACTACTCACCATGAACATATCATTTAGCTGCGAAACTGGAGTATTTAAATGTGAACAGGTTCGAGGAGAAAGAGAAATGCATTTCCTTAACGACGATCTTTCACAAGATCTGTAACAATATGCAATGAACGGAAACACGTGCTCATTGAAACCATTTCAAAGAATTATTAGCGCTATCTCAAACAACATACATCTCTCAATAACTTTATGTGAAAATACTTGATAAATCCCTGTTGATTTATTCTAGAAGATGTATCGCTTCCTGCCTTCTCATTTCAACCATACAACATCAGTTGAGAATACAAATTCATTTCCAAAAGTACTTTCAATACAATCATATTGAATTGCATCATTCTTAACCTATATTCCTCTTTCCTCCCACAGACAATAATCATCGTTTTTCCCGCAGCTGTACCGCTTATCGATGTAGAAATCTGGTGGACGTTTGTCACATGGATTATTACCATGCTTATTGCAGGAATTGTTGTGGCTGTCAGTGTACTTAGGAGATTCGATTTGCTCAAAAGTTTCGGCCCGTTCATTCTTGCCACATTCGTCATTGAATTATTCTTTTGTGTGGTATTCTTCCCTTTCATTTATTTTCAAGAATACGATGTAAGTGTTCAGATGAACATTGGGTTGGTCATCGTGAAATTTCATCTTTTGCTGAGGATATTTGACAGAGACACATAGTTTACTTACCACAAGATAAGCCAGGAATAGACGGAACAGAGGCGGCATATCTGACGACTTTTCTGTGCCTAAAACATCACTGTCACTATTGACACTTAAAGGCAGAAAACCAGTATACCTAAACATTACTGGAATAAAGTACTTTAAGAGTCTACTGTAGGCCAACCAATGTGCGTTGCTTGGATGATTTCGAGAGTCTTATTGGACACTTGGTATTTCCACACAATGTTGGAGGCTCTAATCTCAAGCAAGATGACAGAAGAGTTAAGAAGGTATGATGGAGAACTGTTAGTAATTTAGAAGAGTGCGAGCATGAAATCAAACACTTCAATTTCTTACCTGGAATGTCGATAATCTACTACTGATGTTATCCAAACTTGGCAAGTTTCTCATAAATTGTGAAGATAGTTTGAGTAAAGATATTTCGAAACTTAGTTAGCAAACAAGTTTCAGTCTCCTAGAGAACGTTATCAGTTTGAGCTGTTAGTTGCAGGAATATGAATTACACTGAGGCTGTAATTGAGATTCCTGCTTACTGCAGATAGCCATTCCACAATTTGTCAGATTGGTATAATGCGTCATTACACCAGGCGCAGTAAATAAATAACAGAAATTACACGGTCATTTAAATTAATGGTCACAATGAAGAAAATATAATTTTATATTTGTGTCGTTTGAAGTAAATCGTTGATTTCACCTCCCATTCTCTTGACAGGTACTTATCATGCTGTGTGGATTCGCCATGATATGGACAGTTATTTCGGTATGTTTATCAATCGATCATTTGAAAAAGCGATTTGCACATCTGGAAATGACACCTCCCGTTAGTCTACCGAGAATACGAAGCGACACTGAACGAAGTAGATAAGTGACGTTGAGACTGTACTTCTGAATAAACTGACTCACCAAGTGACCGTCTTGAATATTATTTATGAGAGATAAATGAACGCTGTTGTCCCGCTGAAACGTCTTCAGTTCTAAATGGTTCTGTTTTTTTTGGTGTACGGACAAATCATGTAATCAAGAGGATGAATTTTACTCAAGTGTCACCAATCTACATTTTGACACCTGCCTGTCGGAGACATAAAATACATTGGCTAACTGAATCTCCATGTCAGTTGAAATCATTTCGTTATCGTCATTAGAAATCTTATGATATGATTGGACTTTCATGGTCTATTCACATAACTTAAGTATCTTACTTATTTCTGTTCACGAATTCACGAATGCATTTGTACTGCCTGAAAACATACTGGACACTAATAAGTTTCATCAATCTTCCCTTTCCATTTTCAGGAGATAGCTATCATTGTTCGAGCTCTTCTTGGTGATAGACGATTCACATTCCGAAATGATCAACACGTACTCGGTGGAGTGATAATTGGCATGTTAATTATCTGGCTGAATTTGCTCGTTTCATCGGAGGTGGCCATCTTCCACGTGTTGTTCAGTCCTAAGCAGCAAAAAGACACTTCTTCTCCATTAGATTGATTTTTGAATAAACATCTGGAATAGTTTTAAATAAGTGTATTGTCAGTTTTACTTTTTTTATTGTACCACATTAAAAATGCAATACAAGTGAGATTATTTTTGATCCTCAAGTAGTGAGAATGAGTAGAAACTGCGTAGTCATGAATTGTGGATTTTGCGTTCGCAAGAAATGAGTGAGTACAAGATCCAAATGCAGGGAATTACTGTCAATCACCTGTCATAGCGTCATAATGTGGTGAGAGCTGACTGCTAGCCAACTTGGTAGGCACTAATATACGTCAATTTTTACGTCGCCAATTTCTGTCGTGAGAAAAATGAGAACAAAGGCTGACTCAACAACCCACCACAGCAGACTTTGCGTAGGCAGATACAGTTAGCACATAGATGATCTGTTGCCTGGCCCTTGTCTTCTGTTGTTACAATGCTAGTTCATGAAGCCTTGTGACAGATGGACTGGCGGTTATTCACGTTATGGCAAAACGTTTACAACAACCTGTCTTTTAAAAGGGTATGAGGTAAACATTATGTATAGTCAAATTCCACTTTTATTGGGCTCAACTGGTTTTCCGTAGCAGACAGAGGCTTGTGTTGAAGAAATGAACAGCGGGATGTTGGAAATGATTTCCGATGACACAAGCTTCAAACACAGAGTACCTAATTTCTTAGCTGGAATCAGAGTGAACGAATGATGCAGGCTGACGGTGCTTTCATAAAGGCAGTCATGCGAAATATTTTATTTCGATGAAAGCAGAATTAACAGTGAGGCCACTTCATGCCTGTACGACGATGAAAGCTAAGAAGACTACTCAGAGTTTAGAAGAAGTGAGATGTGGTGAAAATGTATTGGGAATCTGTGAGAGTAGACAACACAAGCCTTAGCGACTCCATTTTGGCCTTTATTTCATGTTCAGTTAAGTGACATCATCTTCAAAGAATAAGGTCAAAGAAGACTGGAATTTCAAATGGTCAGTTAATACCAACTCGTGACAAAATCAAATCAATAGTCTATTCTCATCACCATGCATCCTAGAGCCGTTTGTTGAAAGACTATCAAAGTAAATTATGGAGGTCTACATCAGGTTGATCAAATTTTTATGTATTTGATAGGTGCATGGAAAGGTACACAACGGTGTAGTATATTTCCACACTTCTAGACGATTTGCAGTTTTCAGATACTATACGTAGGTATTTAGAAGTAAGTTCAGCCACCATACTAAGCCACAAATTCAAACAAATATCAATATACTCCTCTTGTACAGCGAGTTGATACGTATTGACCTTGAGCGCGCTTTTCGACTATTACGCTACATTTTGGTCATAAATAAAATCTCTTATAACTCTAAAATTTTATGCAAAGTGTTTGCGGAAATTATCACAATTATTATTATCACAACAACAGACCACAATAAGCATAAATGGGAAGAACCTGAAAGAAACAACCTCCTTCACCTACCTGGGAAGCATCGTCTCAACTACAGGCGGAACTGACGAGGACATCAAAGCCAGAATCGGAAAAGCAAGACAAGCTTTCATTACTCTCAAATCTGTGTGGAGGTCAACAGCATTCAGCATCAAAAATAAGATCCGGATTTTCAACTCCAATGTGAAGTCAGTGCTACTATACGGATCAGAGACTTGGCGAGTTATAAAGAGCATCTCAAACAAACTTCAGACCTTCATTAACAGCTGTCTTCGCTCAATACTCAAGATCAGATGGCCAGAAAAGATCAGCAACAGGGGTCTCTGGGAGCGAACCAATCAGGAACCGATTGTTAAACAAATAGGCAGAAAGAAATGGAGATGGATTGGCCATACGCTGAGGAAACCAACAAGTGACATCACTAGACAAGCCCTCGAGTGGAACCCGAAAGGGAGGCGGCGAGTTGGTCGTCCAAGGGTGACTTGGAGGAGGTCATGTGAAGAGGAGATGAAAGCATGTGGGCAGACCTGGAGCAGGGTGAAAAAGTTGTCAAAAAACCGAAGTCAATGGAGGTGCGCAGCTGAAGCCCTATGTTCCTCTAGGAACTAAAGGATACAATAATAATAATAATGTACAGCGAGTTATTTGCATAACTCACTGCGCCATCTAATGATCCTTAGAGCATAATGCTTGAGAACTACAGACACTGCTGTGGGAGTCATGAGCGAGTGAGACGGAGCTCCATGTATTTATACTGACATACATCAACAGCTATGCATTTCTTGAGTTCACTACCGAGTTGATCACTAAACATAAAATACGATAGCTTATACAACGCAATCTGTCTGAACTTTTCAGGAACGTGTGTGATTACTTTTCAAATATGAGACCAAACCATGGAGTATAGTCGGGTCTAGTGTAGTAGAAGACGTTGAAAATTAGACACAAATTTAGTTAAGTTTGAAAAGTGCCCTCTGGCTGTTGAAATAAGGCACTACATTGGAGGTTAGATTCCAATTTGTTTTAAAAATTAAAACATTTTCAATGAATGAAAGAATAAGTCTGATCTTGTTATGTACTAGTTTCCCCGTCGCCAAATTGTTATGTACTAGTTTCCCCGTCGCCAAATTGTTATGTACTCGTCGCTGAATTATTGTTATGGACTGGTCGAGAAACTAATAGTCCTGACGCGAGAAGGCGGAAATCAGAAGACCACTAGGTTTGCGATGATACTTCTATTGTCCAAACACAAGGAGACGAAAATAAATGGTCTCACACCAAAGTGGTAAGCAAGTCAAGTAGTTGTAAAGTAAAGTAGTTCACACAGATTGTGAATGCGAATATATATAAATAATTCAGACAAGCGTGGGAAAAATCATTAGACAGTCTTAACATGAATGGCTAATTATAATGGAGTGTCGATCCAATTATACATAGCGAATATAGCAGACATGCCAACAAACATATATGGATATATGTCACCAAGCAACGGACTGTCAACAAACACTCATATTATATATAATATAATATAAGGAGAATACACATTATTAAAGGAGACAAGTCCATACAAGTGAAGTGGTCACAGACTAACCGAGCAAACAGAAAGAGAGACCAACATGCACACACACACATAAATATATATATGTGGATACATATCACCTCCCCTTTTGAGAAGATGAATGATTAGTAGGATGTTTACCTGGGGGTTTATCTGGGACCTTTGGGCTTGTTGTTGACGCCTGTCGTTTCGTCTGATTGTTGGGTTTGCGGCTTCGGCTCCGTCCGGAATTGTCTAGCATTTTATGCTTCTTCACTGTATTGCGTAGAGAATTTAGTGGGACATCAGCCAGATGCAAACGATCGAACCAATCAAGTCCCAAAACATTTAAATCATTCTTCGTGACGTAACAAATTCCTGTGAATTTGGTATTGCGGAAGGAAACAGAACATTTGAGTTCACCAATTAGTTTGAGGCGCCCACCACAGGCGCTGAGAAGAGACTGGGAAGTATTGGTGATAGGTGGTCTGCCAATATAATTCCAAAGTTTCTCTGATATAACAGTAATATCAGAGGCAGTATCTAGCTGCAGACGAGTATCATGACCATTCATCTGAAGGTCAATATATTTCCGCATAGCTGGTGTTGTGACTTGACAGGTTGCACGTAGACTCAGTGATCTTTTTGGAGATTTAGGACCGACATTTTGTTGAGCTTTTGCTGGATTATGATATCTGAGTTGGCGTGGCTGACAAAACCCATTTTTATGACCGATGATTTTGCACTTGCTGCAACGATGATTTTTGTATGGGCAAGACTTTACAAAGTGCCACGCGCCACAATGCCAGCATGGTGATGGAGGGGTCTTCTTTGCAGTATTATGAGAAGTTGGACGAGTATGTGTAGATTTCCGCGGAACATTAGGAGAAGTAGGTGGGTCAGGAGTAGCTGATGAGAGATTTTTGCTCTTTCGTAATGCACGAATATCAGAGCTTCTCGGAGGTGTTGATTCGACCAAGTGTGTGTCTTTCTGCAGATTAATCAGCCGTTGATATTCATCAGCTATGTCATGTAATGTTAACTTGGGATTTTGTTCTAGCTGATTGAGCAGTCGAGTTCGGATATCTGTGAAACGAGGAGATTGGAGACTGCATATGAGAATCAAGGCTTTGAACTGATCATCTGTTAAGGACCTGAGTCGAAATCTCTCACATTCTCGGTTGACTGTGCCAACGTGAGTAAGAAAATCATCATTTTCATTCATTGCCAGCTTGAGGCAACGATAACGTATACTGAATAATGAGGAGTGGTCTCCGAAATGTTCACGCAGCAACTTTATTGTATCATCGAAACAATTGTCACGTGGTTTCTGTGGTAAAATTAGGTTGCAGTACCGTTCATATTCTGCCGGACCCAATTTACGTAGCAAAACTCGCACCTTCCAGGCATCGTCTTGTGAGGCGAGATCAACAGTGAATAAATCCTCATAACGTTGATACCATGTGTCAAAAGTGACATTAGCCTCTGGGTCATAATTGAACTGTGAAATACTGTTCACAATTCCGTCGACAGATGGTAGCATGGTATGATTGGGATTGCTTGAAGGTGGAGCTGGACCAGTCTGTTGGTTGACGAACATTTCCATTAATTTCAATTGTTGTTCAAACAATAATTCCAATTTAGAATAATCCATAGTAAATTGTTATGTTGTTGCTGCTGTGTGGTTAATAGTAGTTTTTCCCCCGTCGCCAAATTGTTATGTACTAGTTTCCCCGTCGCCAAATTGTTATGTACTCGTCGCTGAATTATTGTTATGGACTGGTCGAGAAACTAATAGTCCTGACGCGAGAAGGCGGAAATCAGAAGACCACTAGGTTTGCGATGATACTTCTATTGTCCAAACACAAGGAGACGAAAATAAATGGTCTCACACCAAAGTGGTAAGCAAGTCAAGTA